ATATAGCTTGGAACTGCGCATTAAAAAATTTGGCCAAGCTTAAAAAAGCTTTGATGTACGGGGATGAGTTTCCTCTGTTTGAGGTAATAAATGATAAATTATCCTCATTTATAAAAAAATGTCATGATTGTAATTATATATTATACTAACTGTTTGAGAATACAAAAGAACAAGAGCAAAATTACTAAAAGCAAAGTCTAATTAAAATTCTTGTGCTGTAAATAGTGTGAGAGCTAATATCATTTTTATCTGTATTCTACTGGCGGGGGCTAATATAATATTTCACTCTCTCATCTATGACTAATATTTTGTATTTATTATTTGCAGAAATATATAAGCCAATTTATATCACCAATGTATGAACGATTGGGTGGTATTTCTCATCAGTTAAAAATCAAAAAGGGCAAATCGGCAGAAAGAGAAAATCTTACAGGTTAATATATAAATTTATATATATATACAAAAGTTGTAAATCCAAATCTACCAATGTATTTCAAATATCATTCTTATCATTTGCAGACCATTCTCGGCCTGAAGACATTGTGAAACACCGAATCCTGATCTCGTCCTGGGCATGCAGATATGCAATTTCAGATTGCAGACAAAAGGCAGTATCGTATTTTGAAGAATTCATGAACGCTCACAAAACTAAAAGTGACAGGGCAGCTGATGTGTAAAGGACCACTGTGTAATAATTAATAAAATAATAAATCAGAATGTTTATTCTTGTGTTTTGTTTTCAGGATTCCTGCAGACATTGTGTCTATAGTTTACTGTACTGCTGTTCGATTTTCAGACCAGGTGAATAAGAAAATTAGGAGTGAAACATCTGATGATACCAGAAGAAAAGGTACGTAGACATCTAGTAGTGTGTTATTTACCAGAAAATGGTTATTCAGTTTTTTATCCTGCAGGTTTTCACAATCATCCGGTGGTCAGAACTTACGGCACAAATAAAAATAATACTGATAAAAATTCTTCTTTATCATTTGAACTTTTAACAGATGAATGTACCAGCCAAGATGTAGAGAACGTAACATCATCTAGTGCTTTTGAATTTTTATGGAATTTAGCTGGAGATAGTAATCTGGCACAGACGCAAGTTTTGGCTATTTTGAAGGCTTTGGCTTGCACTACGGATAAAGATAAGGCTCTCAGGTATTGCAGATTTATCAATTGTCTTGAAAATGTTGTAAATTGTATGAAAATAATTTGGGTTGTTTGAAATTTTTACAAATCGCCTTAAAACATTGTAGATTGACTGAAAACGTGGTTGCAGAATGTAGATGTTGAAAAACGTTTTTTTTAAAATGTTGGAAATTGTCTGAAAATGTTCTAAATGTTCTAAAAATGTTCTAAACACTGGAGAAATGTGAAAATTGTCTGAAAATGTTGAGAACTGTATGAAAATATTGTATATTGTCTGAAAATGTTGTAAACAGTGTGAACATGTTGCAAATTGTCCAAAGAGATTATCTTCTTAGTATTGTAAATTAGTCAAAAAAAATCATTACAGATTCATTTACCATATTATTAATTTTTTGCAGATATTTGAACGCTTCTTTAGATCGCAATAGTTTTATCAGGAGACAAGATGCCCAACTTGCATTCTCGGGTGTTGCTTCAAACTCTAAAACTTTTATGGTGGCCAGAAAGTTTCTATATGAAAGAATCAAAGATATATACGAATAGTAAGTATAATAAATAACAAATATTATTCAAATAAGTACCTCATTTGGTTTGTTACTAGTTTGGGTCCGAATTCAAATAAATTGGGCAGTTATGTGGATGCAGTAGCGGATCAGATCACAACACAGAAAGATTATGATGAGGTAATAATTAATGTTTATATTTAATCATATACTACATATTTTAAAATATGTATTAATTGTTATTTTAAATGGTACATTTATAGTTGGTGGAGTTCACAAAACAGAATGCAAAATATTTAGCACGTTCTCAACTGATTATTAAAAAATCATTAGAAAGTGCCCAATTAATGATACATTGGCAACAGAAGCATTACGATAGAGTAATAAAACTTTTAAAGGAATATACGCAAGATTAAGTATTATTTTTAATTACATTGACTGTGTACTAGTAAGTGCTTGTGAATAAAATAAAATACTCTTGTAGAAATACAAAGATCTATTTATTGTTCATATAATTATTAATTAATTAAATAATATTTCATTTTACTTCTTAAGGCTGTTAGTGATCCATTGCAAGTAAGGATCGTTCCCATTGTCTATTTTAACACTAATCACTTCGCAGACTTCATATGGGTGATTCTTTTTAACAAATGCTGTAAGTTCAGGGATTTTGTTCGTTTGTGTCTTGATCATCATTAGAAGTTCAGAATCCTCCTCCATTTTGCCTTGCCAGGAGTAAATGGAGATTATGTTCGGTATTATGTTGACGCAAGCAGCTAGTTTCTCCTAAACAGAAACAGGAGTAAAATATAAGTCAGTATGTATTATAAATGTTTATTAATTACCTGGACTAAGTCTTTGGCTATTCTTTTGGCAATTTCTTGCGTAGGCACTGTGACATACGCTATGGAATGAGTACCAGAAATGTAAGTAGACATTGTTCTTGTATTATTAAAATTTTGTGTTAACGTTAATGCTCGTCGGAGCATAAAAGCTGTAATTAATAATACAGTTATGCTAATAATTTCCCTGGGCATTAAATATATATTTAAAACTTTTTTAAATTTATTGGCATGACAGTTTAAACTATCGAGTAAATTTGAGGTTATATTCGATATATATTTATTTTCGATATATATATCAAAGTGTTATTTATTATTACATAATATGCTTATAAATGATCAGTTATATTAATATCAATATCCTTTTATGCATCTAAGTATATATTTTAATGGTTTTATAAATAATTGTCATGACAGTTAACCACAACAAATTAAATTAGAGGTTTTTGACTTATATTTTAAAAACAAATATTAAAAAGAATTAATTGTTATATAATATATATTTATAAATGATCAATATAGTTATGTAAGTATTTTTTGGTATCTAAATGTATATTTTAAATATTTTACAAAATTTTGACATGACAGTTCATCATAACAAAGTTTGTTTGAGATTAAACACTATTTTTATATATATTAAACAGTGTTATTAATTGTAATATAGTATATATTATTTAGTTACTAGTATATAATTAATATTAGAGTTATATCAATAATTTGCTTACGGATTTAAATATACATTTAAATCGTTTGAAAATTTTGGACTTGACAATTTCATCAAAACAAGATTGAGGTTAGAAACCATTTATATTTATTTGTAAAAACAATATTTAGCATGTTATGTAGTATATATTTTGTTATTGGTAAATAATTAATATTAGAATTATATTAATAATTTCTTTACGAACATAAATATATATTTTAATACAAATTTTTGTCCGTTTGACAGTTAACTACAACAATTTAAATTTGAGCTCAAAACAACGATTAAAAGTTATATAATATATTCTTATACTATTTTTAGTTTAATATACAATTTTGTACCGTATATACGTAAATTTCATATATTTTTCACCAAATATACAGTTTTATTAATTTAGTGTATATAACCTATAATTCTTTCAGTTACAACAATGTGTACCCCAAATAAGAAGACAAAGCTGTCTCATTTAACACCTTGCAGGCGAATGGGTTTAAATAGGTCTCCAAGGAACTTTACACCACCTTTCAAAGATAAAAAAGTGCACGTTGAGAGCCCTTTGGTAGAGAATACTAATAATAATGAGTATAAGACTCCAAGGAAAGTTATTAGTAGTAGGAGTAAGAATAAACTTGTATTCGAGGATAAAGGTAACTTATAGCACTATTTGATTTCGTTACACTACTATAACATTGTTGATTTCTCTTTAATAATCATTATTTATCAATATTATAGTTATTTTAATAACATTGTTAATTCTACCACAGTTGCTAAAGGTGATTCTGTATCGACTGAAGAAGATTTAGTATCTAATTATGCACCTGAAGATAATTATGTTGAAGCAACATCATCTGTTGGCGAAGATCGCCTTAAAGATGTGCCTTCGGTTGAAGTTTTTAATGCACATTCTGACATCAAACAAGTATTTATAACAAATGCTCTTATCAGTAATCAGATTGGCAAACATAATTTTATTATTGTTTTATTAAAACAGGTCTGCAGAACACCCAATGAGCAAAATACATTAGTTCAAGCACAAAATGATTTAATAAATGCTATTAATACACAAGAAGACCTCAAACAAAGCCCTAGCGAACATATTGAACTTAATTCTACTATAAGTGCAAATTTAACAGACCTAGAATCATTTTTTGATGCTGCAAGTAGTAATACTTTACCAGAAGCATCCAATGGGCCAAAAATTACAGAACAAGATGTTACCCAGAGTGATCTGCTGAAACTAAAGCGAGAAATTGCTTTAAAGAAAAGAAAACTTAGAGAACTTGAAGGACTTGTTTGTGCTGATGATGTAACGGCACAAATTGCAATCTGGAAAAGTGCTACTAGAGAGATTCTAGAAGATTTATTGACATCGATGAAGAATGAGAATAACGACTGCAGAAATGTGCAAATTGTAAATATATTGAAGGCTTTAAATATTCCTTCTGAATTGATTGGGTATGATGCAGTATCCGAAGACTTTATAGATTAATTATGAAGGTTTCATTCTTTATATTCATGTGATATATTAGGCTTAGTTAAATTATAAACAAGTACCTAATTTTCTAATTATATTATTACTTTTACATTTACATTATTATTCTATGCATAACTATGTGGTTTCAAAGGCCTTTCGGGGTCAAACAACTTCGGTTCATGCAAAAAATCAGGGTCTTTATTATAATAAGGCATAAAACCAGCAACTTGAGCCTTCACAATCTCCTGTTCCACTTGTTTTTGCTTATTAGAACACAAGCCTGTGATGTGCCTTCCATACAGGCGACCTGTGTAAGGGCTCTGGAACTGTGATAGAAGTTTAACATTTTTATAATCAGGTTGTATATTGTATTTGCAGAGGATGCATTGTTGTTTTTCTTTCTGGAAAGGATTTGGTATGTCCACAGGCTCGTCTGAAGAAGTCACATTGGTTGATTGAGAGAGAGGTGTTAAGCAAATGTTTCTTTTGATGACTGTAGAGCCTGTAAAGAAAATTCGGGTAAATGGTAATGATTTAAACACATACACTACTCGAGATTTATACCATATTGTTGATATATTCTCCTAATTAAACAGTTCATGATGTAAAACAATATTAGATAGGTTATGTTTTATTGCAAACGATTGTTGATTAACACAATAGCAATGTTTATATAGGAATCTTTTCAGTGTATATATTAAATTATAAACGTTTTTATATTACATTATATTTTATAAAACGTATTTATACATAAACTTTAATTAAAAGTAACCTAATAGCGCACTGTCAAGTGTCAGTGTGTATTTTTGTGTTGGTAGTTTGCACAGATAATTTTTGTGAGCCAAATTTGAATTTGAAATGTTTATCAAACAGTTTAATATTAAATATAACAATATTTATACATAGATTGCTAAATTTTGAATGTTTTCATAGGTTTAAATCGCTATTTATATAATATAATTTGTTTGTAACAAGTACACTTTTTTGGAGCCAAATTTGAACCTAAAATGCAAATGAATGAACATTTTTTATTAATATAATATCAATTAATTAAAACAAATTGCATACATTAATTCCAATATTTGTATAAATATTTTTTCATATTCAAAATAATTTAATTAATAATTACTATATGTATTTATATACTGTACATATTTCAATTTCTACAAATTTCATTCATCATATCTCTATTTATTTTCTCAAACGATGACTCTTCCAATTTATTTATAACATCTTTAGGGACCCATTTGATTTTTGGATCAGATTCTGTAAATGGATCCTTAGATTGGACATCTAAATCCTCAATCTCATTTGGTAAAATCAATCTGAAACATTATTTGAAAATATTAATAAGTAAAATTAACCTTAGTTGCAATTGCAACTATTAAGATGTAAACAAAGTATTAATAATTTAAATTATTAATACTTTGTTTACATCTTAAGTACCTGTATGAATGTAAAAACATTCTATAAGGCCTTTTATCCTCTGATCGACCGTATGTGTAATCCCCAATTATAGGGTGACCGATAAACTGACAATGGACACGTATTTGATGTCTTCTGCCTATAATTTTTAATTAAATGAGCTTTAAATAATTATTATAAGGGTTTGCGCTCACCTGTGTGCGGCCTAATCAAAACTTTAGTAGCTTCTTTTCCATTATACAAGCCTTTTGATAATATCATAATTTTAGTACTTGCATCACGTGGGGACTGACAATTCTCATCAGATGCTACACACATTTTGTGGGAACCTTTCACATGCCTCCTATCTTCACCTACAAACATTAAATATTAAAACATAACAACAGACAAGTTTCTATTACATTTTACAAACCAACGCCTTGCACAACGTTTGTAAATTCTTCTTCCAAATGTCCTCTGAGTAATGCCAAATAATATTTTTTGGCATGTCTTTTCTCAAAAGCTTTCACAGCTGCCGAGCATGATGTCTTTGTTAATGCAATGCACATAACACCACTTGTCGAATAATCTAAACGATTTGCAAAATGGAATTCATGAAATAAATCGGAATTGGCCAAGTTTGGAAAGGTGTCTTTTAGTAACGTTTGAACAGTGGGCTAAAAATAAATGATTTATTAACTTTGAATGACAGAATTGGATAATATTTACTTACTTTGACTTTGCTATCATCGCTGTTAATCAAAATATCGAATGGTTTATTGACAATAATAAAATTATCACTTTTATGCAAAACGTCTAAAGAAGGCTTTTTATGAGAAGAAAATAAGCAAGAGATCAATTTTTCCAGATAATTTAAAATTGGCATACGAAGTAAGTATAAAAGCAATTGTAACAAAAAGTCTAACAGTAATTCGATCATTTTTATTGTTTTGTATAAAATTTAATAGAAAGTGTTACATTTTTGTGTTGATAATAATAATAAACAAATTTTGTTTTGAAGTGTAACGATTAATGTCAAAGTTTTTGAGGTTATTGACAGCTCAGATAATGGAGATGAAAAATTATGATATTTATACTTAAAACATATTTATTATATAATTTTGATAGTTAAATTATTCAAATATGTTTAATATATATATGCTAACTTGAGTTTATTAAATTTTCTGCTTGAAGCTGTTTTAATAATTATTTGAGTATGGCTTTTTTGGTGTTGCTATATTATTAAAATTAATATTGAAATATAATAATGTGTATTATAAATTACGCTTAATTATTATTGCAATACAATATGATAGTATCAGTATGGGATATGTTAATGTTTAATTTTTATATTTTAAATATTTCAAAAACCGCGCGCTTTTTTGTGCACAATTGCGTAGCCTACTTCACTCTGTCCATTTTCAATGTGGAGGACAAGCTGTCAAAGTCTGGCAAATATATTTTAATTTAATAATTTTTGTCTGTTTTAAATAAAAAATGTTTCGGAGAGCGATTTCTAGTGCTACTAAATTGCACAAACAAACTTTAGGTAATCAAATTGTGCAAGTCAGGAACCATGGTGGAACGTAAGTTTGACATATTGTAGTTGTAACTTGGTTATAATTATGTAATTTGTAATATATAATGGAAATAACTTCTTTATTTAGTAAAATATAATATCTACATCGTCAGCAAAAACATTTTTCTATTTACTTAAGTCTATATCACTTATAATTTATATACTCAACATATTTGTCATCTGTATATGAACACTGTCATGATAATTCAAGTCATATATACAGGGAATAACTATATTAATATAATAGTTAAAAATCTTTAATATAAAGTATTACATACTTCTCTATATTAATACTTTAAGCATATACTTTAGAATGAAAGAAAATAATAACAGCAGTTATGTTTATGTTTTACATATAAAGGGGCTTTTCAATTTCTTTGCAATACGAATTCACTCATCAATCAAAAGTCAATTGTTCATTGTCACACCTGTAAAGACAAAACAAATCAATTCGGACCAAAAATTATTGATTAAAAGAGTCTTAAGTCTAAAATAGGTTTCAGGAACAGTTAAAAATATTTATTTTGGTAACTGCAACATATGTTTTCATAAAAATATTATTTTAGTGCCAATTACCGCTGTGCTTCACGTCCTTCAAAAGAAATTAAACTTCTCGGTGAACTTACTGGGGCTTTAATGTGGTACTGGTGCTTGTACCATATTTGGACTGAACCGGATCATATTTTAGTATGTATTTTTTGAATATTAATACTTCAATCAATAACATTTGATTTTATTTCATCTATTCATCTTATGATGCAGATCTTCTAAATATTCATACCCTAATCAATAATATTCCATTCTATTCTATCTATCTATCTTTTGGTACATGTTTTTTAATCATAAATATCTTAAATTTCATTTTATTTCAATACTTTAATTATTTTTAGGGAGAGTTTCCTTATCCTGATCCTAGTAAATGGACGGATGAAGAGCTTGGTATCCCAGCCGAGTAATGATGGATAGTTAATTGATAGAAATAATTAAATATTGAAATTTAATGAAGTATCTGGATTGTATATGGTACTGCAATTTGTATATAGAAAGTGAATAAGATGTGTTAAACGGTAGTGAAATGGAAAAAATATTTATTTGTTTATCCAGTAACGTTTAATTTTCTTGCAGTTTTTAATATGTATATATATATATATATATATATATATATATATATATCTTTTTATGTGAAATACAAGCATAAAAATATAATGAGCAAGTATAGCACAAGTCTATCAAAAAATTGAGATAATATGATTCACATTTTCATTTCTTTCCTCATTCTTAAATTTATACTTTTTTTCTATTTAGCACCATAAAATTTATAAAAATAAGCAACACAAAATATATATTAATTATATTTTTAAATTAAAAGAAGTTCAGCATTAGTCTTTGTTAACTTTCTGATGGGGAAGTTTATGTTTTTGCCAGTTACACTCAATTTGCTTATTTTGTTCATTAAAGTCTTTCGTTAAATCTTGACTATGATTGTGCTATGATTTTAAAAATTTAAATGTCAGTTGGTAAAACATGATAGGGATTAGCATTGATTAATTCAACGATTGGTTAGTAAAATGTTTTGTCCACATTTTCACCAAAAATCTTGAATTTTGAAAATTTGAAAAGACACAACAGTTGATTTTATAATTTTAAAGATTCTAAATATCAACTATATCTAAAATATAAGTTGTAAGATAAGCTGTGCGAACAGTACATTTTTTTAAAAACATTATTATATTTTAATACAAATTAAAGATACTTTACGAGCGTAAGTTGGATTTCAAAATATTTTGGAGATAATATGATTCACATTTTCATTTCTTTCCTTATTCTTAAATTTATACTGTTTTTCTATTTAGCACCATAAAATTTGTAAGAATAAGCAACACAAAATATATATCAATTAGATTTTTAAATTAAAAAAGTTCTGCATTAGTCTTTGTTAACTTTCTGATGGAGAAGTTTATGTTTTTGCCAGTAAAACTCAATTTGCTATTTTGTTCAAGTTTTTCATTAAATCTCGACTTTAATCCTTTGTGTGTGAGTCTAAATTTGAACTTTTATCAAAAATTGGTGCTATGATTTCAAAAATTTAAATGCCATTTTGTGAAACATGATAGGGATTAGCATTGGCTAATTCAACGATTGGTTAGTAAAATGTTTTGTCCACATTTTCACCAAAAATCCTGAATTTTGAAAATTTGAAAAGACACAACAGTTGATTTTATTATTTTAAAGATTCTAAATATCAACTATATCTAAAATATGAGATTGTAAAACAAGGTGTGCGAACAGTACATTTTTTTAAAAACAGTACTATACTTTAATACAAATTATAGATACTTCACGAGCGTAAGTTGGATTTCAAAATATTTTTTAATTAGTGTTGAACCAAAATAATTGTTCATTTTAGTATTTATTGTAGTTATAGATATATCAAAGAATGTTTATGCTAATTAACAAGATTGTAATACAAACGGTGTGGCCAGAAGATTTTTTTTTGGGGGCTATTGAAAGGCCGCTGTTCCATATGTGACACAACTTGCGCCACAAATTAACTTTTATTAAATCTTGACTTTAACCCTTTGTGTGTGAGTCTAAATTTGAACTTTTATCCAAAAATTGGTGCTATGTCGTGCTATGGTTTTAAAAATTTAAATTTTTGTTGGTGAAACTTAATAGGGTTGGTTCAGCCTTTTTTATAATTAGTAGATGAGTGTTAGTAAAGTGTTTTGTCCACATTTTCACCAAAAATCCTGAACTGTTTTTGAAAATTTGAAAAGACCACAGTTGATTTTATCATTTTTTACTCTAATAAAGGTTCTAAATAGCAACTATGTCTAAAATATAAGATTGTAAGACAAGCTGTAAATTATAGATACTTCACGAGTGTAAGTTGGATTTCAAAATATTTTTTAATTAGTGTTGAACCAAAATAATTGTTCATTTTAGTATCTGTTGCAGTTATAGATATATTAAAGAATGTTTATGCAAATTAACAAGATTGTAATACAAATGGTGTGGGCAGAAGATTTTTTTTTTGAATATTTACCAAGGAGCTATTAAAAGGCTGCTGTTTTATATGTACAACTTGCGCCTTACATGATTGAACACCTGCTACTAAGAATTAATACATAAGTTTTAATTTACAAATTGGACAATTAATTGCTATTAACTAATAATTATTGCTACTTCTTATTATTTATATTATTTTTTACTACGCCTATGCGTGCGCACTTGAACATTGGTACCGCCGACCCCGCAAGAGGCGCTGCTCTAACTTCAGCTTCAACTTCAGCTCGCCTCTCGTCGTTCAGTCAGTCAATTTCCAATATGGCGTGCGCGTCGTGAGTGCGTCCGAAGCATTGCTCGTCTCCAAAACACGAATTAAAATGTCCAAAACTACGTGAATCGCATTCGAAACACTCCATAAACATTTATAAACCTTTAACGTATTGATACAAGCAAAATTCGCAGTTCGGGAAATGTTCAAACTCGTAGAAATTCGATTAAACGGTGCGTTGGATATGTGAAAGTTTTTTGTGTGATTGTGTTGTTAATAAATGAATTTGAAGTGAAACTACACTTGGATGTAGAACGAGCTGTAAACGACATATTAATATACAAAAAGGTAATTGTTGTTTGATGATTTTTGTTATTTGATTAAGCTTAAGGATTTGTTTTTGTGTCCGTCGTCTTGTTGTCATGTTAGGCTAGGTTCTGTCACGCCCTTCAAAAACATACATGAGTTTATATATAAATATATTTATATATATTCTGACATTAGGAAATCGTACATAGTTTTATTATTCCATTATATAAAAACTGCATAATGTCTGAAATTGCAAATAAATTTTAGTACATATTTTTTCTTATACGGCTCCATACTTATGTATTTTTTGTTTACCAACATTAAGAATGGCGTTCGACTTATTTTTATTGCATTTTAATTAATATCTATAAATACTTGGAATATTTCGTGATTGCAATTATATTATACAATAATATATTATATAATTGTAGCCATAAATAATTAATATAAAATTGTTACATTCAGACATTAAAGCAGTGGTTTCCAATCGTTTTGTACTCGCGGTCTCCTTGATTTTTCTTAAATATGTACTTAATTGATAAATTTTATTATTGTTAGAAAATAATATTGATAATGAGTTTGGAATTTTTAACGTTAGTCATAATTAATTTAAAATGATTATACCAGGGGCCTTTAAACTTCATCAGCATTTAAACACCAATTGTTAGAAAATTTGTATTTTTGGTATTCATAGTTAAGGGGTTCATAAACACTTACTGAATATATATTTATATATATATATATATATATATATAATTTGAGTTGAAAAGTCGGACGTTACATCAATAAAAATAGTATGAGAGTTTTTAGAAATTTATTTAAAATCCATACGTTTCGGCTAGCATCTTAGCCTTCATTCAGTGGCAATCAATTTAACTATAAAAATTAATACTAAATAAATAATATATAAGAATATATATTATTATTATTATTATTATTATATAATATAATAAATAATAATATGTAAGAAATTTCATAGAAAAACAGTAATAGTGATAATAATAATAATAATAAAACACTTACACTTTTGTATCCTAATATAACATATGAAAACATTATTAATCCGTGGTATGAGTATGTGCACATTGATAAAATATATTTTTTAACATCACAGATGGTAAAACACACAAATAAACATGATAATTTAACAAGTTGTCAAAACTATGTATTTACTGTTAGGAGTTTAAGATAGAAATGTCACATTTTTTCTTGAAGCAGTTTTTAGCATGTGTTCAAATTTTATGGGAAATTTAAAAAGCGATTGGATCTTGTCATTTTTTTAAAGAAATTTTGAAACGCTATTTAGGAACCACGTGTTTGTTTTGTTCAGGGCCATATTGTCGAATCGTTTGTTTATGACCCTGTCTATATGCAATTGCAAAAACAACCCCTCAGCAAATCTTCTTTTAATTACGCTCTCTTCAAAATGTAACATTTTTGCGTTGAAAAAATCTATATTATGGTTTAAATTATTAATATGCTGGGTTAACATTGTCTTAAATTGTTTGGAATTTTTTGAGTTATTTTTATGTTGATGAAGACTTTTACTCAAGTTTTGGATAGTTTCTCCGATATAAAAAAGTTCGCAATTAGAGCAATTAATCTGATATACCAAGTTCTTGAGGTCAGAATTAAACTTAGATTTAATTTGTGTAAAAATGGAACTAAGGGTTATATATATATATATATATATATATATATATATATAATGATTATTATTATTATTATTCCTGTGTCTATATTTCTCTTACATAAAAGATAACAACTACAAGCAATATTTTAAAATATTCGACATTAAAGTTATGCAAAACAATGGAGATTTTTCATTATCAGTTATTTAATATTTTTAAATATTTATAAAGCCGCACAATAAATATTGAAAATATTTGACGTTAAATTTCAATTTTAACAAATTTTATTATACTCTTGTGAATTTTATGGACGTCTGTTTGCACATGGCTCGAATATTTGCACATGTGCTATTGAAATAACACATATGTAGGTACATAATATATATGAGTATGTATATATTGTGTATGTATGTATAGACAAGGTTATGAATGCAAATTTGAATAGTATTTTAGCTCGAACTACTTTTACTTTCTTGTTCGACATTTAACAATTTAACAATTCTAGTTGTGTCACTAATTAAACTAGTTGGTTTGGTATTTAGCCTTGAGGCAAGTTACATGAACTTCCCGAAATGTGTAAATAATCGACTTAATCAAAAAAAATGTAAATAATATACTTCATTAATCCTACTTTTAAAAAAAACGATAATAATTTTAGCAAACTTTGACGAATTTTTAAAATTAAACTACTTGTCGTTAGGCCGTAAATATTACAGTAAGTTCTATAAGACCATGATGTATATCGCCAAAAAAAATTTCCATGAAAATCGGCTTAATTTTTTTTTTCAACAGTTAATTACAAGAAAACGGCTCGGTAGATTTTCACCTAAAATTAATCAGTATCATTCCCAACTAATATCTTTCGAAC